TTAAACGTCTTTCCGAAGCGGGCGACGAGATTTCAATTTCGGCGGCCGATAGCTTCTAATGGGCAATTCCTCAACTTCTTATTGTCAACTAAATAGCAAGCCCTCATAGTTAATTACATCTCGAGAGTTGTGAGCTCCATAGAAAACTTGATTATAATAATGACTTATATTATTCAGGCTTTTAAGGTTGGGACATTCTAAAGTTAAACTTTCTTATAGTGATAATTAGATCAATTTCAAAATTATAAAGAGACTGGTCTTAACATTGAGACTTACAGTATAATGATGATGTGTCATTTAGTATAATTAACCTCATAAACCCAATCTCTTGGGGAGGCTAGTCAATTTCAAAATCCTTATTTGATTTGAATTCACATATTTTTAATAATATGATTTTTTGTGAGTATTTTATATGATTTGGGTAAGAAGTTTTGGCCCTATTTTAATGGGGCTCTTTTACCTTCCTCTATGAAAGTTTCTATACCAAAAAAATATAATTGAATTGTCCTTTTTTCACATTTCAACATTTTTTGGCTTCTATAATAGGGTTAGGAAGGAAAATTTCGTGAAAGTTTGTAGATGAGACAAATGGCTAAAGGCTATTTATGAAAGTTTAACTTAGTATGTGAATTATTTGGATTAGAAGCTTATAATTTTTGGAATTTAAATATTGAAGAATGTCCTACACCTTTTCAACATGTTTGAGAGCTAGGTTTGGGGTTTTATAGTTGTCTTAAAGATTAGGGTGGGTGGTAGCTAGGACTAAAAAAGTTTAGGAATGTTGAGGAAGATTTAAAACTATTTAGAGTAGTTGCTTAATAGAAAAGAGCAAAGAAATTTAAAATAAATTTGTACCTTATCTTACCAAATAAAATGTACTCTTGATGCCACCAAGCCACAATCAAAGGAAGGGTGCAATTATTCACTCAAAATATTTCATTTAATGTTAAAATTAAAAAGAAACTCAGTTTCCTATTGATATAAAAACATACATGCAGGTTTACTGTTGCATTACCAATGATGCATCTAATAATCAAACTATTGAGCATCAATTTTTATTTCATTGATAAAAAAAGATACTTGCTAATGGCACTTCTAAGACCCATATAGATTTGGAGAACCAGGCCCATTATTTAATTCTAGACCGTTTGGATTTTAATTCTATGAGAAAGATTTCAATATAGCTCAAAGTAGTTGATATAAGAAATTAAATGTTTCAATCAAATTAGCTTATTATATTTAATATAAGAGCAAGAGCAAGAATCCAATCTGGAAAGTGCTTGTAAATAAAACTCCATATCAAAGTGGAAAAGTAATATTATTCTAATATAATCTTTTTTTTTATTTTACATTTTTAGACTTTCCTTTTAATTAAATATCTGTAAATAAAACTCCATATCAAAGTGCAAAAGTAATATTATTCTAATATAATTTTTTTTTTTTACATTTTTAGACTTTCCTTTTAATTAAATATCCATCCCTTAATTAAAGCTCATTAAAAAAATAAAAAACAAATTTAAACTCCTATCTTTCATATATGTGTCCTATTATTTCCTTAAAATTTTCTTTCAAATGTTGTAGCCCAATAGTCAGTTGTTAACTATAAAAAATGAATTATATGTAAAAAAATTAAAATAAATTAAATACTTTAGTGAAAAATGGCTCTTTGTTTCCTTAATTTTTAGTGGTTTCAAGTGTTTTCCTATTTTTTTGTTAAGTTATGTAGTTATTCATCTATTTTACTTAAGTTACTTGTTAATCCTTCTAACAAACTTATAAAAATCTCATTAGCTCCTTTTCATATTCATGTGCATCCTCATTAACCAATAAACAAACTCCCAAACATTTACAGGCAATTTATAATCTACCTTTAAACTACTGGCGACACTAAAAAAATTCTTAGACTTAATTATATTTTGTGAACCATCATACTCTCTTAACCCCCGCCAATCCTAACATCTAGCCCAAATCATTATAATTTATTAGCCCAAGATAAACCATTTGCCATAATTCTAGTCATGTAAACCACCTAAAATCTTTTCCTACAAGAGAGGTTTCAAACCAACCCAAACTAGCCCAAGTTGAACTAGTCTTGGTTTTCTTTCCATCATATCTCACCAGGCCTTTCACCAACAAAGTATAAACCTCAAAGTAAACCCTTTCACATTATGCTAAACATTCAAGGAAAATTTTTGTCACTAATTCACAAAAATGCTAATCGTCACCACTAGATGATCGAAAATGTTAAAAAAATTGGATCACATAAAGCAAATAAAAGTAATTGGTGTTTCGAATAGCTATCAATCTCTAGAATTTAATATTTTTATGATTAACCTAATTTTTGTTCTTAATTTTTCACAAAGTTTCAAGAGGTATATTTGAACATTTTGTTAATGACATTCATCAAATTAGCACTTAGTCTTATTGGCTAAAGTGCTTTATTCCTTAGCTCAAATATTAATTGATGATCACACTGCCAACTTGGCCATATGAGCCGGCCTGAGTCAGGATTGATTGGACGATTTTTTCCTTGGGTTGGTCGACCTAATGCACTTGCCTTGCTCAAGAACGGCTAATGATATCAATTATTGTAGAAGAAGTTTCCAAATAATGAGAAAAGGGTTGATGAGATTTTTATAGGTTTTTTAGAAAGATTAGCAAGTAACTTATGTAAAGTAGATGAATAACTACAAATCCAATGGATTTAATGTATCAAATGTATTGGATCACCCAAAATAATTTCAAGAAGACGTAGGGTTTACCAAAAACAATAGTAATAAGTGATGATCTTGATATGAAAGTATGCATCACTTGATAGCATTATGATGCTACAACGACACACAAATCTTAAGGCTTGCAGAAGTTGCAATAATTTTAGAATGCTTTTTCCTTGGAAATGAGCCATTTTGAAAATAACAATGAAACTATAATAATAGGAAGGAAAACACCATGGATCATCTCATGACCAATTCAATGCCACAAAAAGCTTAGAAATCAATAACCTAGAGAAGCTACAAAAATTCTAGAAAGCTCAGATCCAAAGCTAACACTATGTGAAATATAGTGCGTCTCATCACGATAAATGGTCATGGCATGGGTTGGCCCTCCAAATCACTGGGCTCATGAAGACGACCGACAATCCGATGAGGCCTGTGAGGGTTCCACTTTAAGTAATATAACTTATTGCATAAAAAAACCTGTGGAACATTACCAAGAGCAATAGTCTCTTGTCTTCATAGATCTAATAACTAAATCAAACCAAAATTTGCGCTTTTACCCAAACGGGGCATGTGCATTGTATTTTTGTATGATGAAGTTGTTCTTTCTAAAAGTCAAGAATGTGTTGTATCAAATTGTAATTTTATTTCGAAGACATAAATTGTGATGAATAATTTTAAATAAGAAACTTCCAAAAAAGATTAATAAAGGATTTTATCAATAGGGCATGCCTGTAATCACAAATACACTCGATGAAATCATTTATGTCTTGTTGAACAATAGAAATAGATCTCATGACGAACAATATGCACGCGAAAATATGGCAAAGTTGCTAAAAAATAGTCTTTTACAATTTAGGCTAATACACGGACGAGCGAAAGATCCCCGAAGTCGTTAAGTTTTTAGATCATACAATTCACTAAAAAACAAGCAATCTTGTTTTTCTTCTATTTACGCTCTACACTGCACTTGGTTGGTGCAAATTTGAGTGAAAAATGTAACAATAAAAGAAATGCTGAGATTAGTGATTGTGGATTCCTAAACAAGAAAGTACGAGCTCCATCCAGGACTTGAGATTCGTTTTGGATCGTATTACTTTTGTTCTTTATTTTTATTTTAAAATCATTTTTATTTAGCGTATTTATCCATGCTTTTATTTTTTATTGATGTTTTTAAAAACATCCAGAATAACTATAAAAATAATCATTTTTAACACGTCAAAATTATTTTATTTTATAATAATAAATAATTTACATTAATTTAAATTGAAATTAAAAATAAAAAAATAAAAAACGATTACATATGGCCTCTCAATTTCTTAGCTGCTCATTAAGTATTACTTTCTGCTAAAAAATGTTTAGAAGTATAAATTTAATTTTACAAAAAAAAAACAAATACGCACTCGGTTTACAAAGCCGTTCGTTCATTCAGCTTCAAGTGGATAACGATGTCTTTATTTTATACATCATATATCACAACAACTGCACATTTTGTTGTTAAATGAAACCAAAAATTTTATTTTACGTCTCTATTCATAGCGGCCAATTAAGGGAACAAAAAAGTTCATCGCATTCAGCATCATCATATTTTATTCTTTTGAAGCCTAATTTATTTCTTTTCTAACCCAAGTCAACTGTTATGGAATAACTTAAACTGAAGCGATGAATTTGGCTTTGTAAAATTAGTAAGAAATATCCCAGTAAATTTTTATTTCAAATTAATGATTATAAATCTAATATATATAGTTATATATATAAAGAGCCAGTGCTACAAAATTTAGATATATTTTTATTAATGCCAAATTTTCCTCGAAGATGGCAACAATTAAAAAAAAAACTCTTTTTTTTTTACATATTGTCAAGTCAACAGCATAACTTTTAGGTGAGAATTTTCAACAGGTGCATGAAAACGGTATCGACATGACCGAAACATAGAATGGGAGCAGAGTTAAATTTTTATTAATATTTGAGAGCATTTTATTTATAAAAAATAATATTAAAAAAAAGTGGCAATCTGTACAATGGTTAAAACAACAGTGAAATGGAGGGGTTTCAGTGAAACCAATGCCGCGGTGCCACTGTATAAATCAGAAAACAGACGTAGATAGATTTGTCCTTATTATTGTATTACCATAATTTTTTTTCTTATTTAACTGCCCTTTTTCGTTTTAAATTTTCCTCTTTACTACGAAGAAGCTACATACAAAATCGTATAAGGCGTGCGGAGATTTCCTTCGCGGCCATGAGAGCCGGGTAATCAAATTCATGGTTTTTTTGGAGCTGTTCCCAAAGGAAGCAATCCTACAGGAGGTGGCATAAATCAGGAATGTTGCAAAAGTTGGTATTTACATGAGAGATCTTTTTTGGGGGTGGATGATTTCTTAGTACTTTCATTTGCACTCGGCCGCCGCCGCTGTTTGGCCGCCGGAAGCCGAGAGCTGACCTACGGTGAGCTTCCTGATCTTGAGGAGGGAGGGTACCCACATGGCATAAAGTTAGGATTTTGATTCCCATTTCTTATTAAAGGGATGGCGGGCGGCTGCTGACCGTCCCCATTTCAATTGTTGGCCGGCAATCTCGCGCCGATCGGTTCGCGATCGACTGGCAATCCTTGCCCAAAGACTAGGGCGAACGATATTACGCTGCCAAGTGTATGTTTGGGATGTCACTTCCTAATTTTTTTTCCTTTGAATTCATGGATTTATGTTTTGATTTGATTGCATTTTATGAAATTGCTTTGTATGTGCTGTCAATCTAAAAGAATTCGTTGCTTTTCCCTCACTAGAATGTTTTTGGAGAGGATTGTCTTGTTCAATGCATGTTAAATTTCTCTTCAGAATTTCTTCTGTGATCGAGGAAATCCCTAGGATAGGTTAATAAGAAATTTTGGCGGAATTGACCACTTCCGTTTTAAAGCTAGATCTGCCATTCACAGGGGTATTCCTAATTCTTGGACCTTTTTTTTTTTTTTTTTTTTGGTTTGTTGGTTTTATGGTTTTTGGGTTTTCTTTCGTTTTTCATACAAATCAGGTGAAAAATCATCCAATCGCCGCTATGCACATAAAAGCCAATGCATTTTTTCCTTCTGCTTTTGCCCAAATGTATTTCTGCTACACATACAGAGCATCGTTGCGTTGTTCGGTTATTCTCTTAAAGTAATTTGCCATTTTCTCTGTTTGAGCAGCCCACAGCAAGGTATGGACTTCAGTGGAGGCCCTCCACTTAAGAAGCATCAGGATTTTGGAATCCCGGACCTGTGGTCACCAGTGACACCTGTGAAAAATATCCCAACAAGAAGACAATTAATCTCTAGCCCATGCTATAGCCAAAGGAACCAAATCCCTAAACCAAGTTGGCTTGATCTGGTCTCCGGAGTTCAGGCAGCAACTCCTCCATGGGGACTTTCTTTCCAGAATGGAGTTTGCAGCACTCCAGGCATTCCCAACTACCTGCAAGCTCTTAATGGCAGTCAGGCAGTTGAGGAAGCTTCTGCAAGCCAGGCTACAATTAGCAGTCACTTGCCTCATTCAGCGACAGTTAATAATGACAATGCCGTTTTAATGAACCACTGCCCTCTTAAGCTTGGCAAAATACGACCTTTGACTCCCTTCTTTGAGAATGTTGGAAATTGCCAGGTGTTGCCTGCTTCCTCAAATCAGTTGCTGCTGAATGGAAAGGTTTTGCTTCCCCATGGCTGTTATAACAGAAGCAGCAACTGTGCTGTTCAGAAAACCCAATGTGAGTAGTTTGCGAGGGTATGCTTCTTTTACTTCAGTTTTGTAACATGTTCTAACGTGCCTTTTTTTGATCTTATAGATGGATCAACAGTTACCCGCCTTCCCAATCTAAATTCTTTTCAAAATTCATCTATGAGCTTTGCTGGAACTGGGGAAATGCCCAATTTGCTAAATCATATGAATCCAGAAATATACAATGAAAGAATGCAGTATACACAACAATCTTTGGATGTTACTAACTTGGTTGATGAGCACGTAAGAGAACAAAATTTGATGGTAAATGTGTCTGCCAATGCATCATTCTCAAATCTGTTGATGTCGTCTGAGCTTGCTTCCTTCCAAAATACAGATTGTATTAAGAACCTGGCAGTTCCAGCTGATGAAATCTCAAATCAGCTAACAGCAATTGAGAAGAGCCTTGTGGAGAGAGAGAATGAACGAACAGACTTGGATGATGATGCTTCTAAACAGAAGCCAAAACGGAAGAAGCATAGACCCAAAGTGATTATAGAAGGAAAACCTTCGAGGACGCCTAAACTAGTTACACCGAAGCTAAAGACACCCATGGCGGCGGGAGATAAAAAAAATGCTTTGGGTAAGAGGAAATATACCCGAAGAAAGAAGGATACAATGCTTTGTTTGGATGCAAATGCTTTGGGGGAGATTGTGGATGCAGAAAGCCGAAGTGGGTCCAAGTCTGTGAGGAGAAGCTTGAATTTTGATTTAGAGGAGTCACAATCAGATGACAAATTTTCTTATTTGATGTCAATGTTTATGCAAAATTTAGAAAAACATGAGCAAGAGACATGCCGGGATAGCAATTTGGCAAGCTCTGGATTGAAAGAAACACTTGATTCTACTGCAGTACAAGGTCCAATAGTAGAGAATTCATTATCAGGAATTGTCTTCGATCTCACAAGTGTAACAAGTGAACCGCAGAATGAGTACTTGAAAATATTACAGACCTCATCATCTATCACATCAAACCAAAATGTAGTACCCGCAGACAATATTGTCAATTACAATCATGTTATTGATACTCCAAGTAAAGGGACAAAGAGAGATCTTTGTCATAGGGATGCATCGTGGGGGTTAGCAGGAGAAAACTTGATATATAATAATGCTAGAGACTTCTCTAGACAAAACCATGATACAGAAAAGCAAGGCCCATGCCTTCCAGACAACAACAAAAGGAGACGAATGGAGAATGGGTGCACTGCATCAATATGTAACCCTTCTCCTACGTTGACATTCACTCCCTCAACTGGTTGGACCATACACACGTCAAATAATTCTCAAGAGCTCACATTTACTGATACAATGAAGTTTATGGCCCAAAAGCAGTTGCAAACTTTAGAGCATGTGTTATTACTTGGGGAAACAGATGTGGATACACATAACCATCCCGTTGCAAGGAATAACCTGAGCTCCTTAATTGAATTATTGGATTACAAAAGGAACGCAACTCCAGTTGGGCCATCTTTGCAGAAGAATAATTGTTTAAGACAACCGTCAGCCACCAACAAGCCATCTGGTTATAGCGACAGTCAAGAAAGCAAGGTCTGTGGAACACTGGTGAAGTTTGAGGCATCAGAAGATGTTAACAAGCCCATGAAAATTAAAGGCAGAAGGGGCAGGAAGAAGAAAGAAGCAAACCCTCTGATCCATCCTAGTCCTTCAAAAAGTAGCTCTGGTGCTTCTCATGGCCAAGTAAATCCTGGGATAATTGCAACAACCTCCACCCATTTGCATGACAAAAATTTACATCCTGTAGTCATTTCATTTGACCACCAAGATAAAAGCAGTTATAAAGCATCAACTAATTCTAAAACCCCATCTTCATCTTTCTGTATGGAACAAATGGATTATATTGTTCAGAAACTCAGGTGGCTTAGCATAGATAAAGAACATGAAGTAATTTGTTCTCAAGCACAAAATGCAATTGTCCCATTTGTCAGGAATGGGGGCGCGATGGTTCCATATGAGGGCACTTTTGAGCAGGTCAAGAGGCATCGTTCTAGGGCTAAGGTTGATTTGGATCCCGAAACAAATAGGGTTTGGAAGTTGTTGATGGGAATTGAAGGTGAGGGAAATGAGGGAGCAAATGTGGATAAAGAAATATGGTGGGAAGATGAAAGGCGAGTTTTTCAAGGACGTGTGGATTCATTTATTGCACGCATGCATCTTGTCCAAGGTATCTTGTTATAATCTATAGAGTAGCAATGTTTTCTTTTGGTGTTGGTTTTCTGGAAAGAGTCTAGTCACTTTGATTATCATGATATAAAGTTAAAAACATCTTTTCAGAGTTATTATAGCAAAATGTACTGATACACACAATTCATAATCACATTTTTACTCCGTTATTGTCTTTCCTACTCAACATTAAGAAAGCTAATCATTTAATTTGAACATATATCCCATGCACACTGATATTAATATATGCTATTCAATAATTGACTTGTTTTTACTAATTTTTTAATATGTTGCTATGTTCATTAGTTCTAATGCAATTTTGTGAAACTAAGCTTCGAAGGATACTAATAAAATTTTTTATCTTGGCAATACATCTCCAAAACTGCTTGTAAGTTGAATGACTAACCTTATTGTTACCTCCAGTTATTTTTCTTCAAAGAATTGTTGTTAGGGAGTGAATCACAAAGGGAGACAGTTGGGCTAATATACTTATTGTCATATCCATTTTCAGCCTGAAAATCTAGTATTATAGGTAAGGGCTAACCACTTCGCTTTTCTAAACCAATTTACTTTTCAATTATCCAATGTTCGACACAACTCAATAACTCGCATGTTTTAACAAACACTCTTTTGCATGAGAGCAGTTCACATTGGTTATTACTCCCCATTAATTGAAAACTCATACAAGAGCCTACTCAAATATGTAAAGGCACTGCTAAATTCACAAGCACTTGATGCCAACCAAGACATCAGCTTTGATACCAATTATTAGAAAGTTATCATAAGGGAGATCAAAGATAGGCTAGATATACCGACTGGCCAAATTCATTTTTTGCAGAAAAGCTTGAAGGCAAGCCACCTGATATTTCTATATCAGCACATTTTTCAATTATCTAAATTAAAATTGAACTCTTACGTGTCTTATAAAAAGGAACTACAACGGTGAACTCCAATGGGATACAATCAAAATCTTTTATTCAGTTGATACATATCAATCTGAATGACTTGGTCATCTTTACTTCTGGTCATTTTTTTTGTTTCTCTAGTATTAAAGACTGTTGCGTGGATGCTGATCTTTTCTTACAAAACCTTTTAGGGGATAGACGTTTCTCCCAATGGAAGGGATCAGTTGTTGATTCTGTAATTGGAGTATTTCTTACGCAGAATGTTTCAGATCATCTTTCGAGGTAATGTGGACTTCAGAAAATAGGTTGTGTATAACTTTAAAACTTTTACAGGAAAGATATCTCTTTATCTAACCTTTTTCTTTATATTTTTTACAGTTCTGCATTCATGGCTCTAGCTGCAAAATTTCCTCTTCGATCTAGAGGCAACTCTAGATATTCCAAAGTAGAAAAGGCTAGCGCACCTAGAGATAATCAGACTGAGTGCATCACATCACTTGCTGATGCTCCCAATCTGCAAAGAAATATTTTAAATCATGATTTTTGCAGCCAAGCTTCTTTGGAGATAAATGCTACTGCAAATGATGGGAAAAGTGAAAATAGTAATAGTAATGAAACATCTGGGAGTGGCACGACAAACAACAGTGGGGTTTATTATGATGGAAAAATTTTGGAATCACATGAAACAGAGCCCAACATTGGTCAAGAATCACCAAATAGTGGGTCCAATACTGTAGTTACACAGGCAAGGAGTGCCAACTCAGTGGATATTGAGGATAGGAGGTTCGTGGAACAAGTTGTTTCATCCCAAAATTCTGGAGTTTCGTCACAGAATTCCATGGGATGTCAGGTTCAATCAACTGATAATATTAGATCAATCTCAACGTTGAATATAGCAGCAGATGATTTGCAAATTGCAAATTTTAATAATGGCTTTGGTCACTCTTCATTCACAGAACTTTTGCGCATTGCGGAAAGCAACAATTTCCAGGAAATGTATAGTCATAGTAGCATGCCAAGTGCAAATATCCAAGCTGTACATAATATAGGAAATAACTTGCCTGTTTTCGATTATATGGACAACTCAACAGTCTCAACAGGTTTGTCCGAATCTGAGGCAGAGTTTCTGTATTCTCATAATACTTCTAACTTTACAATCCTGGAAAATAATGCCAGCACTTTAAAGGAAGAGATCAGATTTTCTTTACAGTCAACCACATGTGAAATAGCTAGAGAGAATAAATTTGGAGTTACGTATGGTGAATGCAAGGAACCAGCAGCAGAAGCTGAGACCGACAGCCTCGACAAGCTTTTTTTAAATTCTGGAACTGCGAACACTATTGAGTCCTATGTGCCAACAAGAATTGAAAGTTCAGTGCAATCATCTTTTTCTGAAACTGATGTTGTTTTGAGCCAGCAATCTTTTAGTCACAAAATATTAGCACAGAGAACTGATGCTTCATCCAACATTGAAAACTCTCACGGGAACACAAATATACCATCTAAAGATATGGCAGGACCCCAACAGAAAGTTGGGCATTCAACTATCAAATTAGAAATCTCACAGGAAGCAATCAGACTTGAGAGTCAAATGGAGAACAACACAAATCTTAAAACAAGTTCGACTTCAAATGACATAGTACAAAAACTGGACGTAGATCAGACCACTGGTTCAATCATGAAAGATAGCGCATACAATTTTCAAAATGTTTCAACAGAAACTCCAAAACAAACGGAAAAGACAAGGAAGAGGAAAGCTGAGGTTGAAAAGAAGACCTTTGACTGGGATAGTTTGCGCAAAGAGGTGAATCGTAATAAATCTACAGAAGAGAGAAGCAGTGATAGAATGGATTCACTTGACTGGGAAGCTGTAAGGCGTGCAGATGTAAGTGAGATAGCTGAAACCATTCGAGAACGGGGGATGAATAATATGCTGGCAGCAAGAATCAAGGTATGCTCAAACAGTTAGTATAGATGGAAATAATGTCTAAAGTTGAAGTGCAAGTTACGAGTGCTACTTCTTTATATTTTTAACCAAATAGAGGTCATCACAGAACCTTTAATTGAGCATAATATCTTATTTCTTGAATTATCGTCATGGAATTATCATAAGGGAGGCATTGGTTGTGAGTTGAACAGCAAGTGACGTTTTAACATATATACATGCTAAGTACAAATAATTTTCTTTTCAAGAGCTTGCTGCTTTCTGATATAAAGATTAGAGAAAAATAAAAGAAGATATAATGTAGTCATAGTTATGCTGTCATCTTTATTTCTTTTTATTTAAATTTTAACATTATAGTGCGGTTGAATTTTTCTAAGCATACATTCAGACAACACATGAATCAAGATGGTTAATCTTTGAACATAAAAGTATGGAATAAAGCTGCTAAAAAGTTTTATTTGCCTGACTTTACCATGATGCAGGATTTCTTAGATAGGCTTGTTCAAGAGCATGGAAGCATAGACCTTGAATGGTTGAGGGATGTTCCACCAGATAAATCAAAGTAAGATACCGTATCCATAAAGTACAACATGCTACCGTGCTTTATTGTTTTAAACCATATTGTTTGTCAGCTAGATGATGCCTTGTCAGATAATTGGTGCCATAAGATATTTTTCCATCTATTTTATTTTTTAAGAGTAAACTTTGTAGAAGTGTCTAGCTGTTCCATCCAAGAAAATAATCTGCTATTTGTACTCTCAAGCTTGTACTACATTAAAAACCATTGATTTTTATTGAGTTATTTTCAGAAGAAGATAAGTACTTTTTGAAAGATATCTTACTTCAGATCTGAATTGTTTGTTGTTTTTTAGGGACTTTCTTCTAAGTATAAGGGGATTGGGGCTGAAAAGTGCGGAGTGTGTCCGGCTCCTGACACTACATCATTTAGCTTTCCCAGTAAGTATATCTTTTAAAGAACTCTGTTGCTTTGTACAGGAATACTTCTATTGCAAAAATTACATTGTCAGTTTATATTTTTTCCAACAATAACTTCTAGGTCGACACAAATGTTGGCCGGATCTGTGTACGCCTTGGATGGGTACCGCTCCAACCGTTACCTGAATCCCTCCAATTACACCTTTTGGAATTGTAAGTTGCACTTACATTCTACTCATGGAAAAACAATTCATTGCATCACATGGAAAAAAAGAGCAATCATATGATCAAAATTATTTTAAAACCTTTTTTTTCTCTGTGATGCAGGTATCCAGTATTGGAGACTATTCAGAAGTATCTCTGGCCTCGGCTTTGTAAACTTGACCAGCGTACATTGTAAGCTTTATTAACCTTTATTAAATTAACAAGCAATATATAATTTGTTGTTATTGATCATTGAGCAGATAAAAGCTTTATTTATCAAATATAGAGCCGTTATTAATTTTATTAACTATCCTAACCACTTTCTTCACTAATCAGGTATGAACTACACTATCAAATGATAACTTTTGGAAAGGTGATTCGATAATTAAGCACCTCAAATTAACATGAATTAGATAAAAGTTATTTCTTGCGTTCAACTAATCTTTATTAATGATGCAGGTCTTTTGTACAAAAAGCAAGCCTAATTGCAATGCATGCCCAATGAGAGGAGAGTGTAGGCACTTCGCCAGTGCTTTTGCCAGGTATGTATATCCTAACATTTCATTTTTAGGAAACTTGTTTAAAGGGCTTTCTTATTTTAATTCCTTTGTATCCAGTGCTTGCTTTGTAAATTTGATGCTAGTAAATTCTGAATACATGTAAAGTAGCTCTATTTCAAGTATAGCATCATCAATCATGATTTGCAGCAGCACCTATTCAAGGCCATACATTCTCCCTTTTGAATCCTTGTTTTTCATTGATTACTCTGTAGAACCATGTTCCAATTATTTTCTATTCAGCAAGTTGTACAGCTTTCTGAACTTTTCTTTATTTTTATGTTTATCTTGCTTTTTTATCTTTTTTTTTTTTTCTCCCCTTTAATGAATTAAATAAAAAATCATTGACTCTATTTTCTTGAGATGTTAAAAAGTTATTCTTTAAGGAGAGTAGAATAAAAATACGCATATGCAGTCCTCTTTCAGTTATATAATACACCAAACTCAGCATCATCTCAGGTCTTTTTACTTTTTCGGTCCCCTATTAAATGAATAAGACCACACACAATCATTTACTAGTTCTATTTGTTTCAATTCCTAAGTAGAGATATCCTTCAAAAGACTTGAAATTTACACTACACAAATACAAATACCATCCTTAAAATCTACAGCATCTAAGTTTAGGACATGTTTATTCAAGAATATAATTACTATTTCAAGAATGGATAATTATCTATAAATTACATGGCCCTCTTTAACAAAAAAACAAAAAATAAAAAAATAAAAAAAATAAAAAGATTAAAAATAAAAAATAAAAAACTTATAGAATAACCACACTTTCTTGGATAAGAATGAGAAGATTCAATTCTATACTTTACTGACTTATTTTTGTTTCAGTGCAAGGCTTGCACTACCAGCCCCCGAGGATAAAAGCATAGTGAGCTCTACAAATCCAATCGCTTCCGAGCATGGAATGACTCCATCTTTTACTCCAAGTTCAATTCCGCAGATTGAATGCAGTTCACTCTCACAAGAGCCAACCATTCAGAAGAACAATGAACCAATCATTGAAGAGCCGGCTACTCCAGAGCCTGAATGTCCGGAATCTTTAGAAAGGGAAATAGAGGATGCATTCTTTGAAGATCCTGATGAAATTCCAACAATAAAGCTCAATTTTGAAAAGTTTACACAAAACCTGCAAAACTATATGCAAGAAAATACGGAGCTCCAAACTACTGATATGTCAAAGGCGTTAGTTGCTTTGACCCCTGAGGCTGCATCCATCCCTATGCCCAGGCTAAAGAACATCAGCCGGCTGCGCACGGAGCACCAAGTGTATGTATTAGTGTTTCTTAATTGTTGCAGGCTGATAAATATATTAATACTGACCAACATTATCAAATGATATCCTTTTGTCAAATGTTTTTGAATTAGTTTCTGTTTGTATATTATTGCAGATATGAAATTCCTGATTCACATCCATTGCTGGAAGAAGTAAGCTTTTCTCCTTTTACTGCACTATTAAGTTTGCTTAAGTAGGAATAGTTGATACATATATTAAATAGAATTGTTATGCCCAAGAAAAACAGTATTTTATAAATTAGATCCTTGATTTAACTATTAACCCTTACATTATTTCTCTTTTAGCCTTGAAGCAATTCAGTCATAAAAATGCATTCACCACCTGAAAATTTCAACTTCAATGCTTTTTTGTTTCTGCAAAAGCTGGTTGTCATCAAGGAATTCTAGAGTGAAATTTATACTAGCGTCTTTTTGAAAAGCACACTGAGTTCTAAAATTCAATAATCATAAGCTCTGATCAACTAATGTTGCAGAAGTGAAAAATTGAAAAGTAACGTTCACGTAAGTTGGCAGGAAAGAAAAGAAAAAAAAAACATAGCTTGCTTTATCTTAAATTTTCGACATGAAATTTTTTCTTTAAAAATGCTTTTGGAATTGTCTAGACTGTGAAAGTTTTTATGAAACTTCAACCTAGTCCACAGCCAATTCTCATCAAGTTTGATATTTTGGTAACTGTAAATTGTCCAAGAAGAAAAATAGCTGGTAGAGAATTATATGACACGTGAACATGTACTGTTACTTAGATGTTATTGCATGTAAAAATGCTTTGCAAAGAGTTATTTTTTAAAATTGCATCTTCCTAGCTAATTATTTGCCCAATCAAACGTGACAGCTTGAGCAAAGAGAGCCTGATGATCCATGCCCATACCTCCTAACTATATGGACACCAGGCAAGGATATTTTTCTTATCATGGACATCAAGTATGTATTTAGATGCATAAATATAACCAAAACTTTATTCTCTAGGTGAGACTGCACAGTCCACTGAACCCCCAAAAGCTTGCTGTGACTCCCAAGATACGGGTCAACTTTGTGACAGGAGTACATGCTTTGCATGTAGCAGTATAAGAGAATCTCAGGCTCATAAAGTTCGAGGAACTCTTCTAGTGAGAAAAATTATATTGTTAAGAAAATTATGATACATGTTAACTGCATACTTGATTAACTATGACTTTTGAACAGATACCTTGTCGAACCGCAATGAGGGGAAGCTTCCCACTAAATGGTACCTACTTTCAAGTTAATGAGGTATGGTGATTGGTTCTTCATCAGTGAACTGAATGAGATAAAAAGTTTTCTGAGAGTTCTGTACTGCTTGTTGTCCCCTGCAAAGGTTTAATTGAGGCCGGATTTTGAATTCTGGTGGTCTACACCGTACATGCTTGTAATGCCTTCGTTCAATGCTGGTGCAGGTATTTGCAGATCACCATACCAGCCGTAACCCTATTGACATTCCAAGAGACTGGATATGGAACCTGCCTAGAAGAACTGTTTGTTTTGGAACTTCAATACCAACAATATTCAGAGGTATAATGGTGGCTTGAATCATGTAAATGTTGCTTAGTATAATTTTAAATGGCTTGATAGAAGTTAATGATCTCTTATGTCTGATTTGAAATTTTAGGTCTCACAACTGAAGGAATACAACAGTGTTTTTGGAGAGGTATGTGATAAGCTTTAAAGTAGGTTATACTGACAAAAAAAAAATGGTACTTGTAGCCAAGGATCACAAAATTCGAAGTAAAGTCAAAGGCTAATTACTCTGAAGATAGAAAACAAAACCACAGTTGAATTTGAAAATAAATTTTATTCATTAGTGTGTGTGTGAGATGTATGCTAGTACATCAAAAGAAGGTAGAACATCTTTTGTAGTTATTAATCAAGTAAAGCAACGGATTAAGTTATTCATTGGTATAAAATTTCAAAATAAAGTATACCAAAATCTTAGTTTCTTCTGCCAAAATGGGTAGCAAAACAGTGTCATTACGCAACTTCTTAATCCTGCTAAACATGCTAAAATTTTCTCACCAATTTTTTGAATTTCTTGATATGATTATCTTAAAGTGACTTTTTTTGGTCAAGTTTAACAGATCACGGATCTAGTAGCTAAACACCATACTTGAGGTCCAATGGCAAAACCCTGCATTCACTATATTTAGCTGGTTTAAGCACTAGCTCTTTTAACATTTTTTCCAAGTTGCAAGATTCCTTGCATACTAAAAAATAATTGAAACAGCTGAAGTACAAATAAAGCTATTAGAATGCACTGAAAAAAAAATTACCAATATAAATTCTTTGATGGTCATTGCATTAGAGACATGTTTACTCATGAAATCTAATTTGTTTTAAACCTAAGCTAAGCTTGCGTCAATCATATAGTAAAATAGTAAAACTAGCTGTATGTGACGGGAATGCTAGAATAAAACTAGCTGTCTGTGATGGAATGCTTGGGTAATGTTGTCTTAGATCTCATAGTTCACTAAGGGCCCGTTTGGGCTGGCGATATAGGCGCAATGCCGTCCGCACTGCACCGCTTATGCATTTTGCAAAACTGTGTTTTGCCTCCTTTTGTCAAGAAGTTGTGATAGGAAAGGTGCATTTTACAACCTGATCTGGGTAAGTGCGGTGATTGCCAGAAAATTGCCGGTCCAACTATTTGGAAAAATAAATATATATTGTAATGACCATCGCAGCTTCTTAAACAACAACTTTTGCAACAAACAGTTGCGGTTGCTGCCTCAAATAGACCCTAAGTGAATAAGTATGTTTAAAATAAAAGGTTAATAATTCAGTGGAAATCTTTTATCTTAGTTTGAAGTGTAGAATAAAAGTAGAAATGGTTATGCAGGTTTTGTTTGTGTGAGAGGATTTGATCGAGTTACAAGGGCACCAAAGCCCCTCTATGCCAGACTGCATTTTCCGGCAAGCAAAGCACCTAAAAATAGCAAAGGAGGGGTACCAGCAGCCCCTGCAGATGGATAGACCAGCAACACCTCAGACCTAACAGGAATTCATCATTAATTAAGAATGGATTACTGACCAACAAATTGCGGGTGTGTTTATGGCGAACCCTCTAACCTGAAGAAAACTTAGCATCTATCTCAAAATTGAGGTTAAGTTGGGGGAGATTGAAAGCCATGAATTTTGATCTGTAACATTCTGGCCATTTATTATTTCATTTCATGCTCGGTGTTCGAGCCATTCTTCTTCATGATAGATAAGCTGGATGAGAATTCCATCCATCCACTTTATTGATTTCTCAAACATGCATAAAAGAGATGAAGTTGAAGCTACAAAATCTTCAGCTTTTCAACTGGTGAGATATTTATTCAAACTTAGCTCAGTTGTATTTGTAGCTTTCAAAAGCAGATTATTTAGAATTTAAATCTGGCAAGACGGGCTGCAGCTACAGTTAAGCAGTCCATGAATAACAACTTTAGAGTTTTCTTTTTCCCTTCCAATAAATGATATTATATTGTAGTTGAGGAAATTCTTTTGATGGAACATTTTTTTTCGGAAGCTTTGGTGCTGACCGTACTTTTACAGCTCATGCTTGCATTCTATACTTGTGGTGATTGTTTTTGTTATGTCTGCTTTTTCCAAATGGATATATTTTCGAAGGGAATGGGTGGGTATCGGGGATTAACGGATTAAATGCTATCAGTTCATATGAATTTTGCAGAATATAAATAGAAAGCTGCAATTTCTGTGTTCTGACAAGAAGGAAAATTTCAACAGCACGCTGCAAACTGAGATAGAAACTCTATAATAGACAAGGCTGAAAACTATTTATTTTTATGGGTTGTTTGATTGCTAGAGTAGATGCAAAAAATATATTTTTTTTTTAAATTAATATGATTAAATTCCCTATATTTACTTTACAACATTTTTGCAAAGAAAATATCTAGAGCAAATCATTTACCTAAAAGAAGGTTTTTTTTTTTTTTTTTATATAATTTTTTTAAAAAAAATGAATATGATTAAATTCCCTATATTCACTTTACAACATTTTTGCAAAGAAAATATAAAGAAGGTTTTTTTTTTTTTTGCTGCATTTACTTTGCAGCAATCTAATAGACCAGAAGATGCAAGGGTATGCACAAAGTTTTGTCATTTAAAAATTTTTGAAACAATAAGGAATAATTTGAAACAAAAACAAAACAAAACAAAAAGCCTACATGAAAAAATTGGAGAAAATGGGGGGGGAGAGAGAGAGACTTTGTTCTTTAGAAGAAAAAACTTAGCAGTTGCAGATGCTATTTCTTTTCAAGTAAACTTGATTGATTTTGCACAAATCAAAAAAAAAAAAGATGAAGAAAGAAGGTATCTTACCTAAGTGATGATTCCGGGCTGCGGAACTCCGAACTTCAACCGAAGAACTTTGTAGAAAAGAACGATGAAAGCTTCTGTGGGCGATTTTGAAACGGCATGCTGCAGTTGCTGTTATCGTTTGGTTTTGTTTGTTTGATTTTTTATTTATTTATTTTTTTTATTTTTATGAAGAAACTTAATGATTGAAGATACAGAGAATTAACATTAATGATAAATGAAGTTATTACCGGCGGATTTAATGGCTTCAATCACCCATGCGATTTTAGAAAGAGAATAAAGGAAGACGTAGCGTTCGTCCTAATTTGTTGATTTATTTTTCATTATTTATGAGGGCTAAGGCTTGTTCGTATTGAGTTTTATAAATTATTTTATGAGTGTTGCTTTCAAAGTAATCCGTAAAAAATTAGTGAAATTTAACCAAAGAGAAGAATCTGCACAAAAAACTAAGGATCCATCATATATATAAATATATATAGAATATGTCCCCTTTATTTTTGTTTTGATCTCTTGCTTATGGCGGTCTATAAATACAATTACTAAAAGAGAAGGAAAAATTAAAATAATCGCTCAAATAATTCAAATGATGTGTCTGAAGAGTAAAAAATACAATAGAATACAAAAAAAAATATATAATGTTCATCGATCGTTAGATGTTTTGATTTCGAATGAAAATGTTGATCGACTGCATATTTCAGATTGTTGATGTCGAGAAGACTGATTGATCGATCAGGCATCCAATAGATTTTGGTGAGAGGTCTGTCGATCAACATATTTGTCGGTCAATTGTGTTGTGTGATCAATCAATCACTTGGTCAGTCAACATCTCACTCTTTGCCTCTGAACGTCAATTACCTGACTCTACATTCCTAGCAGCATGATCCCTATGAGATAAGTGCTAGAATTTTGTTGTGTACATATGAGTTTCCCGGTTTTTTTCTCATTGATAGTGATAGCTAAAATAAGGACAGACAAATTATTAAATAATTAATGACACGGTAAATGAAAAAAATTAATTTAATAACAAATTCTCTCTTGCGTCCGTGCCCAGTGAGCCCTATAAAAAGGGCATCAAGATTTGTGCTTTATCCATTTCATTCACCATTTTTTTTGGTTTTTCGAGTGACATCATGGTCGGTTGATCCAGTAAGAAGAACATCGACGTTCACCTTCAGCTTTGGAAGACTTTTAGCTTCCTGTCTCCACAACAGTCAAAATGAAGAAGAAAAAATTTGTAAAAAAAAAATTATCAACATCCAAACCTGAGTCGATCGTCCTAGTTGCTTCTTCGAAAGGTCCTGATGGTTGTCGCCAAAGAAATCTCTGAAAATGGTGCTTGCGGTTTTTCGAGTGACATCGTGGTCGGTTGATCGAGTAAGAAGAACATCGACGTTCACCTTCTAGCTTTGGAAGGCTTTTAGCTTCCTGTCTCCACAACAGTCGAAATGAAGAAGAAAAAAGTTGTAAAAAAAAAAATTATCAACATCCAAACCTGAGTCGATCGTCCTAGTTGCTTCTTCGAAAGGTCCTGATGGTTGTCGCCAAAGAAATCTCTGAAAATGGTGCTTGCCAGAAAGTCGTGACTTCTAGTCCAAGCATTCATGTGATTGTTGAGGAAAATCTGCAAGTTGTTCCATTTGTTGAAGGAATTGAGGGTGAACGAAATAAATGGTTGTCATTGATTCTCTTCCGCTTTCACTGTATAATTGGAACATCGACCTACCGGAGCAAGGAACCGATAAATTTTCTATAACTCACTTTGAATTAAACAGGTATTTGGGTATGTAAATTTTTCCTGATTTTGGCAGCCTTTAATAATTCTTTGACATTATTCATATTGCAGATGAGCATGCAGCACCAGAGAACTGTGATAATGGTGGGTCATCTAAGAATATTATGGTTGATTCTGCCCCATTTTCTGCGGTTGAACCGCAAAATCTGACCGTTGCACCTCTTCAATCAATGGATTAGAGTGTGTACTGGTCAATAGATCCATTCAGCAGCTCCCAACATGAATATTTGGAAAGCCAATAGCTCTCTTTCGATTCGATGGATTGCAGAATGAGGGAAAAGGCCGACCGTTCGGCAAAAGTGATTGAAGAGTTTGCTAGTGTGCCCAGGCAGGAGTTAAGGCTCATTGTACGATGTCAAAGGAAGATTTTGTTGCGCTTCGTAGTGAATTGATTGATATGCGGTCTGAATTAAGGCTCATTCTCGAGACGATCGTTCCAAATAAATTCCAGCAAAATGTTAACCGAATGGATTAAATTAGAATAGGCGGAGAGTTCGTCTTCTAGAGGATTCTTTAGCAAAGGCTTGCCTCAGCTGAAGCGGTGGAACACCCTTTTATTAAGTTTTTCTTTCAAAAAACTTTAATCATTTCATTTGTAATAAAATAATATTTTATTTATGTGAACTGATGTTTGATGTGACACTTATCTTTTTGAGGAGTTTCGACTTTCGCGCCCACCCTATAAATATGACATGAGACTATCTTTTAACTTTTTACATTTATGTGTTTCTTCCTTGATTTTTTTCTTAAATCTTTCTATGCTTGCGATCTTCCGATGGCTCCAAAATATTCTCCAACACTATTTGAAACCTATCTGTTTGTCGACGTATCCAACCTATCGGTGGTAGATCTAAAGGAATTGCATAAGTCTTAAGCTTCGTCAAAATAGTTATTCTACGACAAGTTCGAGAATCTGATCGATCTCTAAGAAAATTTTAGCCCATAACTGATTTTCAACAAAGATCAGTTCAAACATAGGCTATGGTTGCCTCTCTGCCCTGAGCTGTGTAGCATCTTCAATCGCTATGGAGTCATCCATGCATAAGTCCTTCCAAAATCAATCGCCACCATCATGACCTTTGTGATCTTCTATCGCTAGGAGAAAATACCTTGGTCGACAATCCTATTTAATCACTTTTATTCATTTATAGTTGACCAAGATGGGTTTGCCATTTTCTCCCCTGAGAAGAAGCCACAACTGCATAGAGTTGAAAACAAAGTGAAAGATCAGCAGAAGCAGTTTGTGATTGGCTTCTGTGTCGACGACTGGGGGATTCTTGTTAAGTTGGTTGATACTTCGATAGACAAGAGAAAGTCCTTGCCCGCTGGGGGATTCTTGTTAAGTCGGTTGATACTTCGATAGACAAGAGAAAGTCCTTGCCCAAGAAGTTACGTGCTATCGGAGCAATGTTCACCTAGCGTCAACTGTCGATTCTCCAATATATTGTAGAGGGGACTTTCAACCACGTGTTGAGGGGCCATATGAGTAGAGAATTGTGGCTTGCTTCGGACAGCTTAGAAGCTGCCCAAGCAAAAGTGGTCTCGGACAGATTGGCCACAAATCAACAAAACTAAAATCCTAACTATCAAAATGTAACCTCATACAAGAACAGTTCTTTGGTGGTGTTGTCACTGCAAGGGCCGACATCAGCGGTGTTAAATTTTTCACTCCATGGTCTAAGACTTTGGACATAGTTCAAAACACTATAACTGGTGAGTTATACTTATCACTCAATCTAATTCATTGGAAATCTGCATCTTTTCTGTGGTATGGCAGATTTGATGAAGATGCTTCTGAATGTGTCGAGGCGCCAAGTATCTATGTGTCAAAAATCGATCAACCGATCGACACACATGTGACTGATCCAGACCAATTTGCTCTTCTTTTGATAGACTCATGTGCAGCTGCTCCATTCATATCCTGTCAGAGAGAGAGAGAGCTTGCTGCCCAGACCGCATTTCCTTGCCCGGATCTGATTACGAAAAGGAAGCAGAGCCATTTTCTAGCTCTGGTCCTTCACCATCTCCCGAGGAAAAAAGATCCATTAAAAAGACAAGGAACATATGGAAGATATGGATGTTCCTCCTCCCCCTTCACTAAAAAGAAAGAGGGAGTCTTTCAAGTGGATTATGGTGAAGGGGGAGAGGGAAAATTATGGGTCGGCAATGACAACCAATTCAACTTGATTAACACTTCAAGGGACTGGTTTTCTAACTTTGTCGAGACCGAGCGGATTCCACCAGTTTTAGTAGAATTTTTGTGGTCGGACAAATATAACCAAGCCTTGAAGAGTTTCAGTCACCAAGAAATTTTTCAACACTCAGGCCGATCTGATTTGAGGGTTGGCTTTGAATGAAGCCAAGAATTCTTGAACCGATGCTAGAACTAAGTCGCTTCGTTTGAGGCTGATCTTGAGAGGGTCGAGGATGATAGGGACCTCTTTAAGG